GCACTATATACGCCATTCTGTACCTAGTTGTCTTTCTGTCTGTCTCTCTCTCTCTCCATTTGGCAATGTGTCCTGCAGCACTTCCTATAGCAGCTCTCTGAGAGTGCCCTGCTCCTTTTCCCAGCTGCATGGTATTCCATTGGGTGGCTCTAGCTCCTAATGATGGATTCCTCAGTTGGTTTTAATTCATTATGAACCATGTTGCAGTGAGTGGACTTTTTACCTCCAACATTTCACTGAGTATATGAATATCTGTCAGATAAATTGCAAACCTGGGACTGCTGGATCAAAGGGTAAAAGCATGCTACATTTTGATAATTATTGTCAAATTTTCTTCCCTGGAGGTTGTCCCATTCTTTATCCTCACCATCAATGTACAGAAGTGCAACATAGGTATCCCTGTCTCTGTTTTATATTTGAGGAGGCTCAGGCGTGGAAAATACGAGATCACATAGCTAATAATATTCAGGCCAAGACTCAGAGTTGAGCTCCGCTGTATCCTACTCATTCAGTATTTGTCAAATAGCCCCTTTTATTGTTTCTTTTTTTTTATATAACCATACGCCTAAGTCTTCTTAAGTTTTATATAGCTGCCTTATGTTCAGAGACGTTCTAGTAAACAGAGATTGAAGCAATTAACTTGATCTTAGGTGAGAGGGAGGGAGAAGGAAAATGGAGTGGGAAAAGTTTGGAAACAAAAGCAAGGTGGCATGTTACCATGCTGGCCATTGCTTTCTGACAAGTCACTGCTGGCGAGACACAGCTAGGCACTTAACAGGTGTTCTTGCTTGGCCATGAGGGACGTGTCCAGATGAGGCTGGAAAACCGTGCCTCAGGACAGGTCGCCAGATGGAGGAGAGGGGAAGGAATCGAGCTGTTGGGCTCCTCCCCTCCCCTCCTTGCATCTGAGGGGAGACACATCTATACTTTTGGGTCTGGTCACTTGGCCCTCTCAGCAGATGCTGGGGAAGCTGATTCCAACCTTTGCAGCATCCAAGAATGGTGGAGGAGCCCCGAGAGGGTTGTTGTGGTAGCTGAATGTTCTAGAGACGGGCAAGACCAAGGGATCCTAAGGATGTGTTTCATCCAGGTAGTTTCTTATGTCTCTTCACTTTGGTGCTTTACACCTAAACAATACTCGATAAAAGTTTTTAATTGATGAATTTATTTGAAGTGATATTCATAAAAATAAATATTTTTATTGTGGGGAGACATAAATGTATAATAGTTAAAAGTCCAGTTTCTATAGTCAGACTATGTGGATTTGAACACTGACTAGCTGTGTGGTCCTTATCAGGACACCTCACCTTGATTTGCTCATTTGCAATATTGAACTAAAGCTTAAAATAATAGTTGGCTTAGCCCTAACTGCTGTGGCTCAGTGAGTTGGCCATTATCCTGAAAACCCAGAGGTTGCTGGTTTGATTCCCAGTCAGGGCACATGCTTGTGTTGCGGGTCAGGTCCCCAGTTGGGGGTGTTCCAGGGGCAACCAATTATCACATACTGATGTTTCTCTCCCTTTCTCCCTCCCGTCCTCTCTGTCTAAAAATAAGCACAATTTTTAAAAAAATAATAATAATACTTGGCATACAGCAAATACTATATAAACATGAATTATTATTATTATGACATCTAACTCTTATTCAGTATTTTTCAAATACTTTCAAATCTGTCTCTCCAGTTTGGACTTAACTATCCAGTGGGCACCTGCACTTGGAGGTCCCACAGACACCTCGGATTCAAAAGGCTCAAAATTGAACACGTCATTGTTACCCTAAAACCTGCATCTCCTGCAGAGCACTACTCTCTTCCCAGGAACTATAAGGGTAGGAAGCAGGACCACCACCCAACCAAGCTAGAAGGCGGATGTCATCCCTGAGACCTCTTCCTCTCTCTTCTTTACCTTCACGGTTTCCATGTCCAATTGCCTCTTGCTGTGGAACTTCCCCTCCCTTCTCTGTCCTTACTACTATTGTCCCAGTTCAGTCTCCTGACCAGTCGGAAGCTGCCACACTTTTTGACCTTGGGGTTGGCTCCCTCAGATCTGTCCTCAGCACTGCTGCGAGGTGGACCTTCTCAGCACAGATCCGACCATATCATACTCACACCTATAAGTGGCGTTGGCATCCCATCACCTACAAAATAAAGCCCCAGTTCTTGGCACGACTGCTATGATATTTTCTGCAATGCCTTCATTTACCAAACCCTACCTGACCGCTTAGCTCCAATGACAAGGAAAAGCTTGCAGGTCATTACCACTGCCTTGTTGTTTCTTGCCTCTGTCTTTATCCATAATGTCCCCTCTGCCCACACCTTCCTTCCACTCCTTCACCTTTCTTGGCCAATTCCTACTCTCTTTTAAGCCAACATCTATGGGTCACTTCTTTTGGGAAGACTTCCTCGACAAGCTGCTCTCCCCAACCCTAAAACTCCCTACAGGATTAGCAACGCTGCCCTTATGCTCCCAGGGTGCCCCCCCCCCCCCCCGCCAGCCGTTCACCTTGCAGACATCTCCGTGTGTTTGCCCATTTGGGTGCCTGTATCACAGTTAGACTGTGGGCTCCCCAGAGCTTGGGACGCTGTGGTATTTCTTTACATGTGTCTTTGCCTAGCAGTGGCACAGAGTAGCGGCTCAAGAAATGCTTTTAAATGTTGAACAAATAAATTACTTATTAATGAAAAACCATTTTGCACCTGAAATGACTTTTTCACTTTATAAACAAGGCAGCAAGGGAGCAATCAGTAGCACCAAACCCTGTGATTATTTCTTAAGGTTAATTATGAACAACAGGCATTGCGATATTCAGATTACACTGGGAGAGTTGGAGGCGCCCAGAGTAGCTGGGGCCCTAAGGGAGGGAAGTGTTGGCAGTGGAGCTGCCATGGCAGGGGACAGTCAGGGCTCTTAGAGAGCGCCACAGAAACCTGCAAGACTCCCATTCTACTCTCCTTTCAGTGCACGAAAAGTCATTGACTACGCTTTGTTAAGAACTTCCAGATTCTTGTTTTGAATAAGGAAAAAATGGAACAATGGAGAACAAACTAGAATTAAAGTCCTTTTTCCCCTCCTATACCGACCCTCTTAGTTACTGATGCTTTCACCAAGACCCTGGTTCTGGCTAAAGTGGAAAGTTAGGCTGTTTGAATCTTAGTGCACTTTCAAAGCGTTGCTTTATGAAAACGAAGTAAAAAGGCAAGGGCATATTTCTCCTGAAGTTCAGTACTGAGTGTTTTTGAACTTCAGGTATCAGGAGGGCCCCTTCTGTAGTTAAAGTAATAGTAGGTAGGCATGTTGCTTTTAAAAATGAGCTATTAATAGTAATCATCATTATTATCTCGAAGTCACAGTTCTCAAATGGCCACTTAGTGGTAGGTACTTCGAGTATTGAGGGGGGACCAAAGTTTTGCCATCCCCAAACATACCTTTTGGGATATTGATTTTAACCTGATTTTTTAAAATATTTTATTTTTTTTTATTTATTTATCTTTAGAGGGGAAGGGAAGGAGAGAGGGAGAGAAACATCAATGTATGGTTGCCTTTCGTGCGTCCCCTGCTGGGAACTGGCCTGCAGGGAACTGGTTTGCAACCCAGGCATGTGCCCTGACTGGGAATCGAACCGCGATTGTCTGGTTCGCAGGCCTGCACTCAATCCACTGAGCTACACCAGCCAGGGCTTAACCTGATTTTTAAGCGGGGGAAAAAAGACTGAGAACCTTTGCCACCTCTTCCTGCCTAAAGGAATCCAGATAGAAAAACCTGCTTCAGGAAAGGAACAGTGAGCAATGTCACCTTAGCAGATTCGCCTTCCCACCTATGAATTAAATGCGGTGGGTAGGAAGAAACCTAGCAAAGCCTGTTTGTTGAACTTCCTTCTGTATCCCATTGTTCGGGGTTGTCCAGGAAGAATTTATTTACCACATGTTGTCCACCTGTGAATTACCAGCTTTCCTTTTGAAATTCCAGGCTCCCGCCTCACCCCCACCTTCTCTTTTGTCCAAAAGGACACATAAATCTCCGTTTCCTAGTGTGTTTTCGAGGCTCACATCTCACGGCACCTGCGCATGCACATCCCCTGCATAATAAACTTTGGAGATTGTCTCCTGTTACTCTGTTAATTTTATTCGCTCAGGTGGGAGAACTTAGAAGGTGGAAAGCAAGGTTTTTGTTGTTTTCTTTGCGCCTTCTCCCACAGTGTATTTATGCTTCAATTAATTTTTTATTATTTATCTAGAGGGAAGGAAAAAGAAAAACATCAATACCTCCCGCCACGACAATCTTTTAAATAAAAGTTATTTTTTTCCCTTTTTCTGTTTGAACTTAAGTTCAGTGAGATCAATGGACTTGGGGCAGGTCCAACGACAAGTTGGTTAGATGCTGGGACCAAAGGCCACGCTGGCTTCACCAGGACAGAACCTCTCCCGGTAAACGAAGTTTTGTTTTCTGCCGGCGTGACTGCGAAAGTAGGGGGGCGGCTTGGAAAGCCAGGTGAAAACGCAGGAGAAACAGAACACCGAAAGCAGTAAAAAGGAGAAGGAACCACAGCGCCAAGAAGATGCAACCAAGAGAGACACTACGGGAAAGAGAGAACGGAAAGCCTGCGAGACACTCGCGGACGTGCGGACCTTTGTGGACAGCAGGACTGTGCCTCTCAGGGGAAGTTAAGGGGAGGGGAGAGTGAGAATGAGTGCAGGCCTTGTGGCAATCTCCGAGCATTGCTGAGGCAGCTCCTCCTCACCTACCCTACACCAAAGCAGAAACTCCACTCGGTTTTTCCCGAGTGGCGTTCTTGCAGGCAAGCAGGAAGGGGACTGGAGACCTCCGGCACATGGTGCCTCCCCCGACCCCCGCAGAGATTGGTATGTCCCGACCCCCACAGTCGATCTGGCGGCTGCGCGCGCACCCTCCGGCGGGGGCGGGGTGGCCTCGTGGCGCGCTCCCGCGCTGCCGGGTCACGCGCCCGCGCGCCTAGGCCTGGGAGGGCAGACGCGGCTGCGGGGGCGCGCCCCGATCCTCCGCCCCGCCCCTGACCTGAGTCCAGGGTGCGCGGCTCCGCGCTAGGAGACCGGGGACCCGCGCCTCCGCCCCGCCCCCGCCCGGCGCGTGGAGGCCGCTTGGATCGCTGTCGCCGCGGTAGCCGTCCGCGCGGGATGACCTGGGACGGCTGTGGGAGCTGGCTGCCGCAAGAGGTCTGGGGGCTCCGCCGGCCCGCCGAGAGGTGCGAGGTGGTCCCACCGCGGGGTCGGGGGACGGGCGATCCAGGCGGGCGGCGGGCGGGCCCTGGGGCGCGGGGTCCGGAGATCAGGCGCAGTTCGGGGACACTGGGCCGCCCCCCGGTGGAGGGCGGGGTGTCAGTGACAGGGACGCGCGGTGCAGGTGGGACGAGCCTGTCGGAGAGCAGGGGCGCCCGCCCGTCCGCAGAGAGAGGGGTCCCCGCCCCTCAGCTTCCACCCGCGGGGCGCCCGCGGGACGGTGATTTATGTGGGGTGAGCAGGAGAAACGTCCTGCACAATGTATCTTTCTCTGCCGTCACAGACGCACTGACTTCCCAGCCCCAGGGAGTTCATTTTCCTTCTCCGTAAGCTTTCTGTGGGATGCATTATCATTTCTAAATACATTGCAGCTCGCTATTGATTTCAGCTTGCAGCCTCCAGACCTTTTATTGCTTTCTCTCTACATCTAGGAATTTCAGTCATAAATCACTGAGGGGGGTAGTGGGACTCTGTCTGTCTTCCCTTCATTGTTCCTCCGAACCCCACCATGTCAGGTGGAAGGCTCACCAAAAGGAGCCCTTTTGCAGAATGCTTGTCTTTCCTGGCTGAGACTGCAGACGGTGGCAGGTGCTTTAAGGGCAGGCTGCCTTCCAGCCGAGATCTGGAATTTAGAGAACCTCATTAACAGAATGGCAGCCTCTGTGCCCTAAATCAGACACCTTGGGAAACAGAAGGTTGGACTAAAAGGGAACATGAGATTTATGCTCAGCCTAATGGACAGTGAAGATGAAAGAGGCCAGTTCTGATTCCATGCCTCACTGATGCCATAGCCCTCAGCCTCTCAGCTGGCTCGGCATTACCTAATGGGGCAGTGTCTGGGAGGAGGAGGTGGGAGGGGGCTGGGAATGAAATGGGTTTGTTCTTAGTGTAATTCTAAACATTCGATTACACTTTAGAGCTCCTTTTTAAATACTGATTTTAGGGAGAAGAGCAGAGGGGTGAGAAACATTGATTTGTTGTCCCACCAATGGAAGTATTCATTGGTTGATTCCTATACTCGTCCGGGCCAGGGATCAAACCCCCAACCTAAATATGTGCCCCGACCAGGAATCAAACCTGCAGCCTTGGCAGACAGCGGTGGCCAGGGCAGAGCTCATGTTTTTGAGTAGTCTGTTTTAGTTGTAAATGGGGGGCGGGGGGTGGGATGTGGAGAAGGGAGGCAGTAGTTCAACTTACAGGACAAGATGAAAGAAACTTCAGAAAATTTCTGGAAATTTTAAATTAGTGCACAACTGGAAAGCATTCTTAGGGACCCAGAGAGGCACCAAATACTGTAGTTTCTGTGAAGCACATGTTGAAATAAGCTGCCTCATACATGTAAGTTCCATGAGGAGAATGCAGTGAAAACCTGTTTCATTTTGTGAAGACCTGTCCGGGGTGTGTGCCTGGCAGTGTACAGAGCAGAAACATTTATATTTCTATGAAAAATATATACACAACTGTGTATTGTTTAACTTCCATGCAGAAACTCAGATACAGTATTTAGGAAATCTGTCTTTGTTTGAATAGTGTAGTCAACCAGGAAAATCGGGGACTCAAGGTCCTGTTTGTGCGTAACTCACGTGGGATGCCGTGGCTGCTGCCTGTGGTTCTTGTCGGCCTTCTGTCCTGTGGGGAGCACTTCAGCAGCTCCACTCTCATGTCAGGAGCCACAGGGAAGTCTCAGGGCTTGGAGCACGCTGATCTGGCCCGTCTGTGCTGGGCTCTGCATCACTTCTTGCCTTCTTTGCAGGTGGTTTGACTGCACGAAAGGCGTAAAGCTCCTTTTAAGATAGGATCCCCACCCCGTCTCTGCAAGGTGTATGTGACGCAAGGCTTTGCATGGGAGTGGGAGCTCTGTTCTAGGGCCCTGCAGAGGGCCTAGGTCAGGTAATATTTGTGGAGTAGTTTTCCTGCTTTCCTCTTGTTTTTTTCCACTTCGCCCTTTCGCTTTCATGGCTTTCTGGACGATTTCATGTCTGGTTTTGTCAAAATAAAAGTTGAAGTAAAATTTTCCTTCTGTAGAAATGTTTCTTTGGCAAACATGTAGACTAAAATTCGGTGATGGCGTCTAAGGAAAAATTTCAGGGAAATGACTTCAGGAATCAGCATTATCTTAGTGCAGTCAGGCTGGGGGTGGGAAACTAAAAGTAACTAATTAAAAAATTTGTTATTTATGACACTTAATTGCATTAGCTGTCACCTGTTATTAGCATTTGTACTTGTTATTAGTATTTGTAGAAGTGTAGGTAAGACAACACGTCAGAAGAGATTTGTCCACCAGGTAGCATTTAGATAGATGATTGTACCGCTTAATAGCAACTAATTAGACTTGAAAGGGAATTTGCAGCCTGGTTGCTAAATAGATTGCTTGGAAGAACTTGATTTGCAGTTTTTGGTTGGTGCCTTTTCCTAAGAAATTCTGTGAACTTGGATTGAATTAGAGACTGGTTTGTTGTTTTTATTTCAAATTTTATATTGTGTGTAAACATTCCCTTTATTTATAAACATTTCATTTATAAGTTTTGCTAACTCACTTTCAAGAGAATTGGGAGGAGGGCTTTACTCAATTCTTTTCTATTAAAATTAAGCGTGTGGAATATACTTAATGTCACTTTAAAAATATGGGATTACAATGAAATGAAAAACGGGTTTGTTGGGGTTTTTTTTTTAATCCTTCAAGTTTTCCCTCATTGTTTGTGCTCTTTCCCCCATTGTCAGGCTTAAAACATACAGTATCATTGTCATCTGTCCCCTGAATAATGGTCCTGAGGTGATATTATTAATGTGGCTTTTTAAAATCAAACTAATTATACTTGCCTAAAAGAGCCACATGTGTGTGAGCCTAGCTGCCTGGTGCCTTTTGAGAGCCCTGGAGACAAGCTAGTGAATAGAGCTGAAAATTCATTCTGTATTTGATTAAATGGAACAGACTCGCTGCTCCTTACCCCAGCAGGGGCTATGAGATCTCTTGATCCCCGAAGCGGCTCCGAGACCCTGGGAATTCCATTAGCGAGCACCTGAGGAATTTCTGCCCTGCAGTGCCTTTTTTGTGTGTGTGTATGTGTGTGTGTGTGCAGAGGGAGGGGAGCAGAGCGGGAAGGGGGAGTGGAGGGAGGGGTGAGGAGAGGAGCTGCATTAGAAGACTCCGTATGTTAGCAGATCTAAAATCGAGGCATGACTTAACAGCTTATCTCCTGCGAGAAGAGCCCAGCCCAGAGGCAGACTGCTAGTCAGGACTTCCCTGCTGGCAGGGCTGTGTGCTAGTAGCCCTGAAGTGGACGCCACTGCTAAGTGCAGAAAGTCCCTTCTCTGCTTTCCCTCTGAAGCACAAGCATACACACGTTGCAGACTTGGTAAGTCTTCTCTCAACGGTCAGTTGGTAAATATGTAAAATTGTGTTACGGTTTGGTCTCGCCTGTAAGGGTGGGTGCATTGTTGTAATAACTTTTTAAACTGAGAGCCAAGCCTGACCTTTAGGTGAAGCAAATCATGTTTGAATAGGCGTACTTTAGTTCACTCTCCTGTTTTTGTATGATTGTATCATGTTTTTGTTATGTTATTATAGAATTTAAATGCATTTAGGGTATGTCTCTCTTCTGTTGTGTTTTTAAGAATTCTTTCTGATTTCTAGTTTTTTTTTTAAAGGAATTGCTTTGCATTATTTGCTAGGAGCCACAAGTAAATGAATATCTATCTACTAAAAATATTCCGTAAAAACTTTTGAAGCAAAGTTTTGGAGAAATATTAGTGGATCTTTCTTGCTCAGCCCCTCCTATCCTAACCCAACTAATTTCTAGCTACATTTTGCAGAGCATTAGCCCAGTATGTTTCTTGTGTACTTTTCAAGGAAGGGCAGTCCTGAATCTTGGACAGTGTAGTTAGTTGCTTTTCATCTTCTGAGGATAGTTAAACATGTGCCTGAATTCCAGTGCTTGTAGTTTTCAAGTAATGCAGAAGAATGCAGTAGCTTATTAGATTGTTAATTTGATACTTTGTTCCTGATTAAAATCACGGTGTATGTCACAGCTCTTCCCCCTCTATTACCAGGTAGTCCCACCAAATTCCCCTCACCATACAGTGTTTAGACAATAAAGGAACCTTTGAGAGAATATGTTTTAATTTTTTTCTGTCTTAACTCTGGGCATGCCTTCTACTAGTATGGTCACATTGAAAGGACTTGGGAGTGAACTGGAGTAAACACTGAAGTTAGCACGGTGCTGGTCTTGGTTTGTAGTGGTTCAGGCGCTTTGCTACGTGATGTATAATGAGAAAACTACCCTAAAGAACATTTTTTCCTCCATGTCAGTTGAAATGTGAGTAGGAAGGTCAATTCCTGAGAGCCAGCAGTCTATCTTGAATCATAGAATGTAGGAACTGTGAAGCTCGTCACACCTTACTTGAGAGGAAAAAATATATACAGTTCTATGACTGAACCTAGGTTATATACTCCGCCCATGTTTCGGTGCTTGGAACTGTGTGTTCGATCTTCTTTTCATATTACCCTAATGCAGACAGAGCTGAGAAGCGGACACTCAGTTGCTCCTCGGCTCTTCTGTTACAGACTGGCTCACCTCTTTATGTGCGTGAGCCTGCGCTGCGGTCTTGACCTCAGCTTTGGTCTTCCGCTCTACAAAACGGGGGTGATAACAATAGTATCTCTTACCGCTGCGGTGGGGATTACAGGAGATAATGAAAGGAAAGTGCTCCGCAAACGGGAAAACCTCCGTGAGTGTCGGCTGCTGGTGTTTCCAGTAATTCCTCCTATATATTAGTCTATTACTTTGACCCAGAAGTGATTCCTTTGAAGTACTAAATAATGAGGAGCTCTCAGAAGTTAGTAATAGTGTGGCACATGTAACTGCTGTACTTTGTATGCTACGGTTTTCTTTATTTTGCAATCGAAACTTGAAAGACACTTGGAAACAATGTGTTGCCTATTTCCAATTGAGGTATAATATAAAAATGTGTGTACACAGGCATACATTGAACGTACACTGAGTGAACAGCTAGATGAAGCTTTACATATGTACATATGTACATACCTGTGGTCAAGGTGTAGAACCTTTCCTTTACCTCAGATGGCTCCCTGGTGGCCCTGCCCCAACCCCCAGCAAGCGCAACTCTTCTGACTAGCCATTAGTTTCCACCATACATCAGTTTTGCCTGTTCTTGAACTTTGTAAAAATGGACTCATCCCTGGTTCCTTGCACCGCTCATTACATCTGTGAGATGCGCCTGTTATCATGTATGGGAATCATACATGCATTTTAAATGGTTGTAGCGTCTTTTGTGTGTTTTGAGATTCATAGTTTATTTGACTGACACATTGGGTAGGTACATGGTCATTGGGGAAAAAAAATTAATGACACTTTTTTCTGAACTGTTAGAAAACCAGATCCCAGTGGCTAGCTTAGAAAAACAGCCATGACTTTATCTGATACAGAAAAATGGGTTGAAGGTGACACAGTCACCTACGGTTGCCATTCCATAAATCAAATTCTCTGATAACTGCATTTATTTTATTTTTCGTTTCTAGAGGGAATAGAGGGAACCTCAAAATACAGAAGGACCATCTGAGTGATCTCAGGTCCTTCATTTCTGGCATTCAATGCAGTAATCAACTCTTAGCGTTGTATAGAAGTAATCATTACCCCAGCATTAGGGTAATATTTTTTCAGAAGAAAATGAAAACCACCACGTTCTTTTGAAAAATAAGTCCACCCCAAATGGAAGAAAACATAGCTAGGATGTTGCTGGGCTGCAGGGAAAGCTTGAAGGCCAGGCTTGCTCACCTCTGTCGGGGCACAGCCAGACTGGCCGGCGGGCTGCGCCTCCTCCACGTGTGGGGTTTCTGCTGGTCCTGTCGGAATGCTCGCATCTGCCAAGTAAAATGTACTTCCCCAAACAGCGAGTCCAGCATGCAAGGTGATGCTGGCAAATCAGGAGTTTTTGTTTTTATTTACACTTCGGAGGGAACTGTGGTCAAGGTTACTAATAGTTCTGTTCTTGGAAATACTGATGAAGGGTTTTCTGGATGTTCTCCTTGAATACAAGCCACTTCTCTCTCAGGAGACACTGTGTTTGCAGCATTTGTGATCTTATTAAATCTATTACTCATAGCTCCTTGACACAGGTCATTCTTCACGTCCAGCCCTGCACAGGGATGGGTTCCCCTGCACTTCAGAGGAGCAACTTGTCCCCTTTTCTTATCAAGTCCGACCACCAGTGGCCCAGATTGCAGTGGGGGTGGGGAGAGTTGAAATAGTGGTGTACGTGGCAGCTTTTTGTTCCATAGGACCCTCAAAAGATGCGGACTTTGTTTCAAAAGAAGGAAGAGCTGTCTGACAAACCGAGCTGCCTCAAGATGGAAAACGCTCTTCTGCAGCAGCTTGAGCCCCTTACTACTAGACATGTTCAAGCAGCGTTTGCACAGGTCCTGCGGACAGGGTCGCTTCCTCGGGTGACCGAGTGACCACGTGACCTGCCAGGGCCTTCGCGACACCAAGATGCCCCGAAATAGTCTTTGCGGGAGTCTGCACAGCTCCCACATACATAACTTCAGAGGGAGAAAATGCTTTACAAAGTTTCAAACAGCCATTGGATAAGTAAATGTTCTCAGTCCAACCCTAGTATTAAGTCGAGGACTGCTTCTACTTGCTGGTTCTTTCTTAACTTTAACGTAAGTTAGCTTTTCACTAATAAGTAAATGTCAGATTTTGCCTTTTTCCAGTATTCTAAGTATGCGGTGTCAGAAATGAAAATACTTTACAGGCGTAGTGTTTGTTCCCTTCCTACGTAGGTGCACGTCTGAGAATGCACTTGAGCCATCTGTTGGCCCAGTTATTTATTTACCCCTACAACAAATTGCATACAGAATGAGAATGAATAAATGTACCTCTTGTCTCTCCACCTTTTTTCCTCCATCCAAACTTTTCTATACTTTGAACGAGAACTAACTCATATGGGGCCAGAGAGGCCTATATCAGCGACGTATCCAAGCAATGAAACTGTATTCTGGGGACCATGGTTATTTAACCTAACCGTGTGCACATTTTGTAGCTGTAAATATATATATTAATAATTTATGTTAATAATTGATATTTAGAATGATTGAAAAGAGTATGGAACCCCAAAGCACTGAAATAACATTTTCTTTTTTTTTTAAGATTTTTTATGTCTTTATTTTGAGAGAGAGAGAAGGGAAAGAGAGAGGGAGAGAAACATCGATGTGCAAGAGAAACATCCATCAGTTGCCTCTTGCACGCCCCCAACTGGGGACCCGGCCCACAACCCAGGCATGTGCTCTAACTGGGAATTGAACCGGCAACCCTTCAGTTCGCAGGCTGACACTCAGTCCACTGAGCCACACCATCCAGGGCTGAAATAATGTTTTCTCTATTATATAAAGTAGAAGCGTAAACTGAGTTTCTACTGTTTTGTATTTATGTCTACACATGTAACGTCTGTACCCTGCATGTAACCTGTAAGCATTTTTCTCTCTTCCCATATAGTGCCCTCCAGCCTTCTCAGAGTCTGGGAGAGGAATGAGAGGAGACTCAGGACGAGGGGCAAAGCAATCGTTGTAACTCCTGCTGAAATTGCTACTAGCTCATCTTCCCATCTCTAGTCTTGGTTTTCTCTGCCCAAATCACCCACATTTCTGCATTTTGCCCCTATGATGATCTTCCTAAAGCATAAGTCTGACCACGTGACCACTCTTATAACCCCTCCCCCAAGGCCCTGACTTGCTCGCTGATGGAAGCCCAGGTCTTCAGTGGGGTACATGGGGCGCCTCACCCACCTGGTGCTTCTGCCACCCTCAGCTGCTGCACGTTCCTCTCTCCTGCAGGTGGCTGCTGTCCGTCTGGGCCTTATCTTACTCCTAAAGGACAATGTGATCTCCCCCTTATGCGATCATTCCTCTCACCTCTTCCTCACACTGTGCCTGGCAAGGCATCAGTGCTGAAGCAGTGCTTTGCAAACTTTCGGGGGCATCGGAATTTCTCGGGAGATGTTCAGATGCAGATGCCTATTTGGCAGGAGGGTGAGTCCCAAGGATCTCCCTTTCTAAAAAGTTTTAGGTGATGTCGATGACTCTGGGTATTCCGCACTGAGTAGCAGGATGCTTAATTGTGTCCTTGACGTCCAGGGATGATTTCAACACCCAATTTGGTCCTTAAAAATCCAGTGAAATCAGTGTATCCCTCAAGTTCAGGTGCACCACAGCTTCAAATAATAAAGAAAGTTGTATAGATAAAGAAAAGACAGTTAACTGTTGAAGATACTTGGACATCGATTGTCACATCGTTGCTGGAACACTTGTCTAATATTTCAACAATTTTATATATTTAAAATGGGTATTTTTGTTCCATGAAACGTTAACTGTCTCTAGAGAGCTGACGTCATGTTTCATGTGCTTGTTTTCAAACACTCAGTGTTACAGGAGTTCTCCTGGATATATAGGGACTGAAAAGTACATTCTGGCTTCTGTCTCTTGTCAGGGGGATTTCTGACAGTTACTGGCTTTTTATGGTTTCAGAGTAAAAGTAATTAGTATTCTCTATTTTATTATAATATGATATCTGTTTAGTGAGTAATCGCACACACCACCTGGTTGGAGGTAAAGTTGGCAAGAGGGACGAATGTTTAATGGATAAAAGACTACTTTTATCAGGCCATAAAATTACTGTGGTGACATCAGAACTTGGCAGCCTCTTTTATTCCAATAAAAAGAAAAATAGCATCATAAGCGAGGGATAAGGCATTTTTCCTGCCCATTTATTTTGGCTTATTTTCATGGCTTTGCCTCAGGGAGTATGTATAACAAAATAACAACGCAGGGAATAACAGGCAGTAAGAATTAGAGAGCGAACATTTTCAGCTGGGGTGAACGTACTGTTTATCACTTACGTCTGTGTCAGTAATTTGAACTGTTTCTCTCAGTTGTTGACTACGACAATGTACGAGTGGGTATAAAGAATCCTTTTCTGTGACATGAAGTTAAGCTTCATTATTTGGTGGCATACTCCATAGCTTGTAACATATCAAAAAAGTGTGATGATTGGCTTAAAAGATCACCGTGCGAGAGAGCACGTGTGAATGTGATTATGAATGTGACAGTGTGTTTTTGTAGGACAGGTGCTATTTATTCCTCTTTATAAACACCGGTAGAATAACCTCGTACGCCCAATCAAATTGCTGTTCCCTCTTGCTGTGCAATGAGATGTGTAGTGGTTAGCATGATTAGTGACAACTCCCATACCAGGGCCCCAGTGTGTGTCCAAGCACACAGCAGCAGCTCCAGCGGCTCCCAGGACTGTGGAAGACCTAGAAGAAGTCGTTATAATTCTTAGTAGATTACTAAATTCCTGAGCAGAACTGCGCTACATCCTCACTGCTACGTCGCATTCACAATTTACCTCGGGTGTCTGTCTTCCTGTGCTCAACCTTCTTGAACAAGGTCGCTTGATGGTTTCCTCCAAGTAAATCTTGTATACACATCCAAAACGAAATCACAGCTTGTGTTCTGCAGTAAGGAGGATTATCGTAAACCTAATTTGAAATATGTACTTCTAGTTAAGGACATATTTCAAGTCATAATCTGATTAGAAAGTTCTGATCTCTTAATCGGGTCTTTTGTTTCCTATTTATTGAACATTGGGCATACTTTCTTTTTTATGGCCAAGCCCTTTTTGAAATTAAAACAAAAACAGATCGGACATCTATGCTGAGTTCCCAATCCCAAGCTGTGGTCATCATGTTTTAAGTTATTGTGTTTTTTAGTTGGATTTGTCTCTTCAGAGACACTGCGGTTCTCGCGTTTGGTCTGCAGAGCTGCATAAGGTCTTCCAGGGTTTTCATCGGCAGTGCAGAGCTGAAGCGTTTTTCACCCAGTGGTTGACGGAAGCTGATTCTGAGTTATTATATGACGTGACGGGTTGTTAACTGTGGTCTCCTATTATTAGGCTGGCAAGCACACTTGTCATTATTTGTTATTTCTTTTGTGTTTGAGGATGCATTCTAAAAGAGCTATTGTCATAGTGGTTAGGTCTTAAAATAATTTCACATTTGTTACTATGACAGCAGCCACGGTGGGATTTTTCATCGTACAATGCAGCTTGTACAAAGATTCAATATCAGTGTTTTGTGGCACTAAATAAATTTGAGCTCAGAGATTTGACTACATAAATCTTACTACTGTTAGCAGAAGTCTTGTAGCTAAGTCCCAAGTGGGTTCCCAAATGCGAACCTCGTAAGCCAAGGCTGTGTCCCACCCCCCCTTGAAAACAGCAGGAGAAACTAAGTTACTCTTCCTGCATGTTTGAAACTCAGTGCCCTTCCCCCTGCTTTCAGCTTCTGGCAGCCACCCCTCTACTCTTTGCTTTTATGGGTTTGACTTTTTCAAACTCCATCATTAAATGAATTCATATAGTAAAAAAAAACATAATAGTAATAAAATAAAATAATGAAAAATTGTCAATGTTTTACTTGTCTTGGGATCTCTCTTCCAGATAAGTAGATTATTAGGGAAAAGGTAAGGAAATGATTAGCCCTGTGGAGCAAAGACCTTAATGCTGGATCGGATTTATGTTTTCTTAGCTAGGGGGACAAATGTATGGAATACTTCATTAGCTGTGGTTGTAGATGTCAGCTGATCAGGGCATCAAATCAGCAGCCACCACCTATAACATTCGTGAGGCCTTCAACAACCAAGAATGAGAAACTCAGTTTTGAATTTTTTTATCTGTGCAATTAAGGATTTTTACCCCATTGTGTTGAAATGTGAGTTTCCTGGAAAAACAATCTCTCATGTGACATTTTGTAGGCAAAGTCCCCATTTGCTCATAAAAGTTCTTTCTAACTCCCTGAGAAATACTAGCATCTTTTGTGTCTGATGCTAGCACCTGCAGTGACTGTACTGCTGGGATCTGTGGGCAACTTAATAAATACGTAACCTAGTGACAAAGGAGTGGAGTGTTTCTTGTTTTTGCAGAGCAGGGCCCTGTCTGTTGGGGTCCCCTTCAGACTTGCAGAACGGTGCCCCAGAGGACCGGGAAAGGCATGCACTGTCCCGGTCTGCATGGCATGCACAGACAGGCGTTGGAGGACCCGAGACACTCCCGGGTGCGTGCAGCTCCACGCTGAAGGATTGTTATGAGTTCAGTGACTTCTGTCTCGTGATTCTTTTTGTTCCATATACAGAATAATTTTCTCCTCCTGTTTCTGATGGTGATCATTTCTTAATAACCTTTATAGAGCCCATTGTACATTGCAGAGTGTTTTACAGGGTTTTTCTCTCTCTCTCTTTTTTTTGCTATTTACCATAAATGAATGAAATAGTAAAATTTGCGTGAAAATGGAAATCTTGAAGATGATCAGCGATTGAGCACTGGAATCAGACATAAGTGTTTTAATGCAGTTCAAAGGTAGGTAATCTTCGAAATCTCTCTAGGATTGGAAAAAGAAACTCTATTTGGAAACTGTATTCTTTTTAAACTTGATTTAGGTTATAATTACACATTTGTCTGTACTTAGAATAAAATAGTTAAATTCTAAGTTGTTTTTTGTCCTTGACATTTGTAAACCACAACTGCATTCTAGGTTCTCTCGACCTGATGGAAGATGCTGAAGTGAATTTTGCCTGACGTAAAACCGACCCCTTGGTGTCTTGTACTTTAAACCTCTTTCCTCTCAAGAGGTCATTTCATCCGCCCCCCACCCAGCTGCAGGAATCCTTGCTTTCTCACACAGTCCTTTACAGCAGGTACTTGGATGCTTAGAAATTCTTTAGCAGTATATTCGAGCTGAAAATGAAGTTTGAAATCCTTTTCCAGCTCTATGTAAAGTAAGGATTGCCAAGCTTTTTAGAAATAAACCTCATTTTACATTTGTGACTTTAGTACTGGCATGAATATGAAATCTGAATTGGAATTGATATGCTCTTTGTCTTAACAGTTGTTCTGTGGAACCCCTGTGGCCAAGGCCTGACAGATGATGTTGAAACATAATCTGGTTTTTTCATTTCTTGGGGGTGCTAGACAATAAGTACAAGTTTTTACAGTTTTAAGTGATTCTTTTTGTATTGCTTTTGTCAATTGCCAGCTACTTCTCTTTTGTTTTATGTCACTGTATTGTGTTGGATAAAACAAAAGCCAATTCTAAAGCATTTAATGATAGCTCATTTGTTACTTCGGTGTTGATTACAACTGTTGTTAACTGTTTAATGAAAGAGTTTAAAAATGGTTTCATGACCGATTTGACGGCCAGATTGCAAAGAAAAGAAAGAAAAATAGATATTTTTAAAGGCCAGTTTGCTCCTTCTCTTCTGCTGGAGTGGAGACAGAGTGGTGGATAGCAACAGAGTCCAGCTCCCAGTGCGAGGTGCGAGGCTGTTTATTTTCACTCTGGAGCTGTGTATACTACAGAAGGAAAGCTCTGGCCTTGCGAACCCCAAGCAAATCATTACTTATCTACGATCTGGCAGGCAGTTTGATTAAGGTTGACAGGGCTCGTATAATATCAAGACCAGGCCCTCTTAATGATGGATGAGCTTTGTGCATTTTTTTTAATTTGAAAAGAGAAAAACTGAACAAGAATGAATACTTGTTCAGATCTCTAATTGCCGAGTATAAACCGAGTCTGTAATGTAATGTTTTATCTATAGTGATTAATATGCATTAGTTTGTGTGCTGATTTTTAGGCTACAATTAAATGGCTTTAAAAGAATATTTCAGTGTCAGCGGGTTAATTTCACTGTTACATGATTCGTTTTTTTTGAAAATTTAGAGATCTTGTCATATTTTAATATCTTTCTTAACTTGGTTTTCTCTGATGTTCTATGTTTAGTATAGTGGCAATTTTAACCTATAAAGAGTTTTCCTCTTCATTCTCTAATGAAATTGAGTTATTTGGAAGCCTTGGCTTTCATTTAAGGCAGTTTCAACCCCTTGCTGGATGAGAATGATTTGGACCGTTGTGACAGTGCACCTTGGCCATCGAGTGTCACCATGTCTCTTGTCCTCCTAGACCGACACTGTGTGGGAC